TCATAAAATAAATCAATAAATATAATTTCGAAACTGAACATTGTCTACAAAGCATTTTATTCTCTGTCAAAACGACCAGTCACATTTTTCGCAACATTGAATTAATCTATTTCACTGGTCAATCATAGAACATAAATACAGACGTCATTGGTTGAGATAAGTTACACACTTCTATCTATCTACACACACTACATCGACAATCCACGTTAATGACACATAGCCTCTAAAATCTAAAAGAAGGCATTCGTGTGTAGCTTTTCTTAAGACATACGCGTTTACATATTTTATCATTCGAGAAACAAAACAGTGAATGTGAAAATGTAATAATTATTATTCTGATTTTAGTATGAAGTGATTTTGATTGTATCATGAAGAAGATATTAAAAATGAAATAAATAAATAAATATCGAAGTGCTGAAAATTATTTTTCAAAATATACCAGAAATTTAATTGAACACTATTCAAAATACATAAATGTAGAAAAATCTAACCGAAGCTGTCCTTTTTCATCGTCTAAATTACGAGTTGAAAAAATCTCGTTGTGTGATTTAAAAGAATTTTTCTAATAAATTTCCATTAAAAGAATCAACTGATTATCAAGAAGAAAATGTCTTTGCACAGCATTTTTATTTTGAACAACTTAATATTTGCTTGCTTGGGGTATTGTTAAATGCGAACAGGTCGTTCGATTATGGAGGAGAAGCCGGGGGACTTCTCCCCGCTAATTCTTTTTATTGTTATTGCTTTTTCTCTGGAAATTTTCTTGGCGAACACTTAACAAAATGTCATTTATTGACACCCGAATGCATGCTCCAAAAAGCACCTACTATTTTGCTTTTCTCACTGAATATATTACTGCTCAAATGTGAACTATTCTTTTAACATTTCAACCAATACCTACTAAAGGCACTTTCTTTTCGTATGAGAATTAAATTTTCTTTGGGTCTACATCACCTTCTTTTTAAATCTGGACTGTTTTCTCTTAAAGAGATACACTTTCTCTATAGATCAAAATTATATTCTCTGTAGGTCATTGCTATTTGATCTTTCGAATTGATTCACCTTTAGAAGAAAAATAGCCTGGACGTTATTGAACTGAAAAATTTTCTTGTAGATGAAAATACTTGTTTTCCTTTACTCGAACTTTTTTACTGAAAAATTAACAAGAATAGAGAAAATACTGTTTCCATTGAAGACGAGATCATTTTGGGTTCCATCCAGGAATATATTTTACTGTAAAAAGGTTTAAAAAAAATTGTTTCTCTGTAGATTTATGAGACTTTCTTTCTTAACTTTTCTTCTCTCTCAGCAAAACGAAACGAAAACTATGAATGTGCAGTACCGTTGCCTTTTTCTTTCTAGTATATTTTTCTGCTTTCTGATTAATATCTGAATTGTATCAAGTGAATATTCAAATACACTACCATCAATTATTGTTAGAGTTGGTTGTAAATTGATTCATATCTATTGATCTTTATCCTAAATTTTTTTGATTCTGAGAATATTTGTCTCTGTATGTGACAAAAAAAAACAGGAAAATCATCAATACAATATGAAAATCAAATGAAGCAAAATTTTTGTTAAAGTTTTTTTTTCGTATTCTGGTGTTGTGTGAGAACTAAACAAGATAACAAAAAGACGTCATCTTCGAAAGAATGAGGCGGCTTACGTGTTAAACGAGAATTTTTTTGTTGAAAATAAGTATACAAACTGCTAGAAAAATTTGAATCATATTGTACATGAATAAAATACATGATAGCAATACATATATATTGTGTAAAGTTGTTCCAGAACATAGCGTTCTATTTGATGAAAAGCAAATTTTTTAGTTCAATAAGTTTAGTATTGCAAAATACTAGAACTTCCAAATTCTTTCAAAAAAATCTAATTTGTTCTTTTCTTTTACCTGGTCTATCCATCTTTTTTTTCTGTTCGTACGATTGCTCATATACGATAGGTCAAATATGATATAAACAGCTTTGCAAAAGAAAAAAAGACAAGAATGTTTAGGATGGTGATGGTGTAAATCATCATCAACTCTTTTTTTCAAGCTTTCTGAGATACAAGTTCAACTAGAAGAACTTTGAAAATATTCGAAATACTTTATTGCATTTATGTTTTATTGTTTGTTGTTTATTTCGAAAAAATTTTGCGTTTTCTTCAGTCCTATGTCTTCTTGATCTCCTCCGTTTTCTCTGATTTGAGCCAATAGTAATAAGTTCATGAATTTACTGTAAAAGTTGGTAGTGGCTGAAATCTCTTTTTTTTTAAACATTATTTCTTGCTAGAAAAAGAAAGTCAATATTGATTTTCAAACAAGCAAAAGCTCAGACAATCGTTCGGTCTACAATGATATACGTATATCACATAACGAACGTGGCATTTCTATTCACTGACTATTTTTTCGCTTAGAAAAGATTGTGACCAAATTAAAAAAATCGATCGTCGAAACTAATTTAGAGTATAACTCTTAATCTTAGATTCGGGCACAAAATTAACGATGAAAATAAAAGTTTTAGTCGATAAAATCTAAAATCCTAATAACGGCAGTGGAAACGTTTTTAATATGTTGCATGACTTTTCATTTATTGAATTACTCTTTTAAAAATAAACAATTTAACATATTCTCACGTATTTTGTAGAGCATAGAGATCTAATAATTAGTTTTTTTTTATTTCATTTCAGTTTCTGATTAGTAATTATGATAATAATATTCAACAAAACATTTATTCATTTGTTTTTCCTTTATGAAACTTGTTTATGTTCTATTTGAACGATATCATGTATCATGGGCATATTGTAGAGAACAAAATGTAGAGATAAAAGAGAGAAAACAATACCAAAAAATTTTTATTAAATGATCGAGAAGTTTTCCTTATTTTTTTTCTAAAGAAATAAGGTTATGTATGAAGTTTTTAATGTTCAATTTAGTCTATTTTCATTTTCGTTCATACCTGCCATGGTGACTATTCGTACAAACTTGTCATTTTGTTGATTTTTATTGATTGATTATCAAACTAACAAAATATTAAAATAAATCAAAGATTTCTTTTCGAAAGAATATTCTCATAGATGAGAAAAGATATTTGACAATTTTACCTATATGAAACATATCAATATCTTAATAGCTGAGAGAGGAGAAAAATACTTTCCTCCAAATTAAGAGTATTTCCGTCGTCTTTTTTTTTTTTGAAGAGAAACTCGATTTTGAGCTGAACATCAGATGTGATAGCCTCCAATACGATGTGCAAATAGAGGTATCATTTGATTCTAAATAGCTTACTGTAATAGAGTTACTGAATTTAAGAATTTTTTTCATAGTATTCATATTGAAGTTCTTTTCGTTTACTTAGTGTAATGCAAAATACCAATTTTCTCAAACCTAGTTGCTTACGACCTCTCTCTAACTTTGTCTGATCAAGCTGAAATTGTTATCACAGACGCTTGAAAGTATCGTCTAGAGATGAATTCGACCGTTTTCGTTTTTGACTGTCCTATCCAAATTTATAGGATTCTGAAACCCAACACTCTAGTTTTGGCTTCGAATCTATTACATATTTCTCTCAAAGAAAAAATTAGAAAACCAGATTTTCGAAAATACTCAAGGATACCTCTGAGGTATCTCCAAAAAAATTTTCAGTCGGATCGGATAAAGTTTGAGAGGAAGTCGTCATGTACCAGAATACTGTCCTATAAAAAACCCGAATTTTTCTCGGGTTTCTCGGGAACGATTGTGCAAAAAAAGTGATGAAAATTCCAAGGCAGATAAATCTTAATCAGTAGAGCAAACGATATCATAAACTCAAAACTTCCAGATGCTTCCTTCTGAAAGATATGGAGATCACAAAGGTCAGAAAACATAGTTTTTTCAATAGTAATATTTTTTAACGGCTATCGAACGCATCCTTTTTGTTCAACAATGGATTGTGAGAAAAAAGCAAAACAAACTTTCTTGTATATATCAGTACATTTTCTTTCCAACTAAAGTAATCGAAAACTGCTGGTGTTAGAGTTTTTTGACCAATGCTCACAGCATCTTCAGAAATTATTATTTGGAGAATTTTGCATACAAAGAATAATTGCAGAGCGAGTTTTTCTACTAGGGATTTCAAGAGTTGAGTTTAATAAAAGTACTAACTAACAAAGAAGAGCCCTCATTTATATGGAATTTGACTAAGGACACTTCGAAGCTACATTAGCGATGAAAAACCAAAAATCAGTCAAGTCACATGAAATTTTCAGTCCCATATCACGACTTTTTTGAGCGATATTTAATAAATAAGGGTCAAAAATAGCTCATACGGCGCCCCAAAATTCTCTATGAGCCTTCATTCTATATACTTAATTTTTCTTTGTTTGAAAGAGTACGTCATGATGCAGGACACGACAGAGTCTTGGTTTTTAAATTCTTACTTTTTGAATGAGGAAAAGTTCGATGTCTCGTCAAACGGGACTCTAATTATAAAAGTACACTTTTATAGAATTAAATATGCAGAATGAAGTCTCACAGAAAATTTTTGGTAGTACGATCGAAAAAGCTTTCCTGTTTTTTCTGAAAAAAGCATGCGTTTCAGGCAGAAAATAACGGAAATTTTTGGAAAAAACGAGGTGCCAAATAAAAAGTAATTTCGTTTATGAAAGATCAGACCTTGAGTTGTCCTTCCATGCATTTATCTCAATTTTCATGTTTTTTTAGGAGAACAGATAGCAATTTTCATTGATGCTAGATAAATAATTAACAAATATTTTATTTTTTAGGTTCTTGGTTGGAAGAGCATCTTCTTTCAATATATTTTATGATTCCATTTATTGCTTGTACGGCTCCAATTTTACGCTGAAATTGGTTTGTCAAATTTTTTTTTAATTTCTTTGTTCCAATTACATGTTAGTTTTCTTTATTAACTAGGTATCCAGCAGAAATATTTGTTGGTGATACATTTTGTTATTTTGCTGGTATGACATTTGCGATAGTTGGTATTATTGATCATTTTAGTAAGACAATGTTACTTTTCTTTATACCACAAATTATTAATTTTCTTCCTTCAATACCTCAATTATTTCATTTTATTCCATGTCCAAGACATCGTTTACCAAGGTAAGTTTTAATTTTCTATAATCTATTTGTTTATTATGCAATATATATATATATGTTTGTGTAGATTAAATGTTGATTTAAATAAATTGAATGCATCTGAAATTGAATTTAAAAAAAACGATTTAAAACCACTTGGTAGGTTAATGTTACAATTTTTTTCAGCAATAAAATTTATAAGATATCGAGAATATAAAATGAATGATAATGAAATAATGATTGTAACAACAAATTTTACTATTATTAATACCATTCTTTGTTGGACTGGTCCGTTATATGAAAGAACACTTACAAAAATTTTAATATTTATACAGGTAAATTTATTAATTAATAAATTTTTAAATCAAAAAAAAAAGCTCATTCTATTTTAGATTGTATTTTGATTGTTTACTCCCTTTTTTTATTCGCTATTATCTTGTTAAATTTTTCTATGATTAATGATTATGCGTGTTTTTTCTCAAAGATATGTATTTATTTATTTTTGTTCTGATAGAGAAATTATTATTATTATATTTTTTTTTTATTTGGAATGAATTGAAAATAATTCTTTTGAATTTCTACAATAATGTATACAATTCGGCAAATAAGGTTTTGAACACCATGGACAACGTGCTAATGAATCTGAAGATTTTTTTCTCATTGATAAAAAATGAAATGTTTCAGTTGGTAATGATGATTTTTGTTGTACTGGTTGTTTATTGATTAGAGGAGTAGAAACAGGTTGTTGAATATGTGTAGTTATAGCAGGTGATGTATTTGCAAGAGTTGAACATGTACGATTTGAACCAAATTTTATTCGTCGATCAAGTTTAAGTCGAGCAAGAAGTGTTTCTTCTGATGGTGGTTGTTGTAATTGTTTTAATTTACTTGAACAAAATGTAACATGACGATCATAAGCTTTTTCACAAAATGTACGTTTGCAATTGGGACAACCTAAAATGATTTAAATTATATTATAATCTTATTAATATGATTTATAAATGTTTTCTAAGAATATTATTTTTATATGAGAAATTATAAAGTTTAATAGAGATATTAATCTTCCCAAGAGTAACTATTGATAGAGACAAAAACTCTTCGGATAATGTAATCAAAATTTCAATCCTACAGGAATCTTATTTTGTTATAACGAGTAAAAAGTAAAAAAGAAAAATGAATCCTTGATTAGGAATTTAATGACTAAATGCAATTTTCTATATAGTGCTTTACACAAAAGTCCTGCTGGGAATCTAAATAGCATTTTTGTTTTCCATTATAGTCTGTGTAATATTGAAAAGCAGTACTTGTCCATTCCTTTCTGAACATACAGTTACGTGTCATCTGAATCATCGAAAGATTTATCTCAGTATTTGTGTTTTTATAAGGTTTCATTTCTACTTTATGACTAGGTCTTGATAAAACTTGTATGTGTTCAATAAGATTCGATGAAGAATGAAAGATTTTTGCTGGAATAAAAATCAACACACTTCAAGACTATTACCTCGCAGAAAGAATAACCCTATATAATCTTATAATCCACAAGGTTGACTTTGACTTTTTTTCCCCCATCCTAATTTTTTGTCAAATCATTCGAATTTGTTTGAAATAGATTTAGCGATTTTTTTTCCCCGAAGAATTGATATACTAGAAAATGTTAATGTAAATTACATACAAAACTTATTGATAATAGGTGGTACAAGTGTATCATCTGACCGACGATTACGTTTAGCACTGCGTGTTTGAGATGGTCGTATATTGCTATTATTATTATTATTATTATTATTGTTTGAGTTATTTGTATTGAAAGGTGATATTTTACATACTGGTACAGTTTTGTCACCTGATCTTATTGAACGATATTGTGTCATATCATATACACGAATATTACGTTTGTTTGTTGGATTTTCACGACAAATATTTGGATGTTTGGACAAAACTTGTGGACGCATTCGTCGTTGACATGCTGGACATTGAACTAAGTCTTGATATGTTTCCTTGGTACCATCATCATCATCATCATCATCATCATTATTATCAACGATGTCAACTTCTTCTTTGTCGTTTTTGTTATTCATTCTATTGAAAATGTTTGTACTCTATTCGATTGCTCAATTTATGTATGTGCATGTGTACGTTGCCCGTTAACATGGAGATATTGTCGACGCAACTCAATAGATGCAGATGTTTCTGTGTACCTTTCTTCTGTTGCTTCATTTGATCGTTCTTTTTTTTCATCCTGTCAACCTTTTTTTTTCCTCTATTAATAGATGTTGGATTGACGATATTTTCAAGTATTCTATTCACTCTTTTTTTTTCACTTGATCCTCTTATCAAGTCAACAATCATGTGAGATAAGATATTTAGAAAGAAATCATCATTTGTATTAAAAATATATATGTATATTTATTGAACATTTACATTTTCCTTTCTATAGTATGCCTATATTGGTTGATAGGAAATTGTTTCCAAGGTAGAAAATTTGTCTAACCTTCTGATCGATTGATCTACGACGGTAGTGAAGACGAACACAAACAAAATTTTCTATGACGCAGAAAAGAATGGTCTTGCGTTACATGAAAAGATCATGAATTAACAATAGACGTTTGTAAAAGTTGACAATGAATAAAATTCATCATTTTATAAATATAAAACTAGTCTTCTGTCTGTCTGTATTCCATGTAATTATTAATTAAAGTTTAGTGTCTAGGTAACAGATGTGAAATCTATTATGTAGTAAATGCATTATATATGTTTTATGCAGATAAACAACAACGGAATTAAGCGGATTGTTCATTCAGCAATTATTCGAAGCTACTCTACAACTATATATTCAATATAAAAAAATGTAGACTTTCTAAATAAGTTTAAGCAAAGAATTGAATTGAACTTAAAGAAATGCAGTTCTTATTCTTGCACGGAAATTCGATCAAAGCTTTTGTTCTTATATAATTGTTCATTAATGTTACAGTATTTACTTGATAAATCAGATCAAGGACAAGACTCTACAACATTTACAAAAATAGTTGAGTATTTGTCAATGTTATTGTTATTTCTTCATGACATTTCTTTTTATTTAGCTTTCTTAAATTAGATCTCATATATCATGACAAAATGAGCACGACATATTGTTCTGTTTGAATTTAAATATGAGCATGATGGTTCCGGGACTGGAATCAGAGCCAACACTTTTTCAATGGAAATGATATCTTTAAGAATCATGTAACACATGTGTCAAATATCATACTCTCACGACTTAGGTGTTCTAAAAGTATATGCGAAAATTATTGAGTAACGATCATTTCAATATTTGCTGTTACAATTTTGATAACAAGACTAATCTTTTTTTTTGTAAACAACAGAATTATCAAACATATAAACATACAGAATATATAAAGCACTAATGAATTAAGAAAAGGAATTTAGAAGTCATGTGGGTCGTGCAAGATGTCTCGAATTGATTGATACTGCTAGAAAATGATATCACATTTTTTGCTAGCACAGCACGAAACCAGGACCAAATTTTTTTCTGACAAGGATCAAAAGCAATTGGCCCTGTTCATCACTATTTAGATTCTCTCTTCTTTAATTTGATTAACGAATTAAAAGCAATATTTTATTGAACAATCACACAGGATTAATTTGGTACTCAAATCACTGTTATTAAGTCACTCTTCACTTTTCGTAGATTAAATACTTTCTGAAGAATATCATTGAACTTATAATAGTTCTACAGATATATTTCAGTAAGAATTTTTCAGATGAACTGATCGTTTCAAAATGGATCAATATTTCTGTGTTATGTACTGAACTGCATAAAAATGAATTAAACTATTGAACTTGGATGTTATCTAATTCGATAACTAAACTGATGTAGAAGTTAATTATTAAGTCTTACTGCGTTGTCTGAAACCTATTTTTGCCCAGAAAAACCGATCTTGCTGAAACTTTCACGAAATATATGTTCTTCCTCTAGATAGTTGACACTCAAAATTTGCGCGCATAATATTGAGTTATTCAAAAGTTTTACTAATATTAAGAGTCAAAGAGTATGCGTTCGTGTGCCGAATGTTTTAGGCGTTTGTAAGAATGTAACCAAAACCTGATGCTACAATTTAACAGAGGAAGTTTTTGAAATTTCTTTTCTATAATTTCCACAGAAGTTTTTATCCTCAAAATTGGAAAAATTAGCGTGATACGGTCGAAATGAATAGATTTTTCTCGCATACGAGCAAGAAAATTAAATAAATCTAACTCTGTTAAGTTATAGAACCTAGCTATCGCTTCATTTGAATACCTTCCTGAGTTTTCTAACATCTAAAACGGTCGAAAAAATCTTTGACATACGAAGAAATGAAAACAGAAAAATCTGTGTTAGAAAAAAAACCGCAAAAGGAGCTTTTATTTAGAAAATTATATGTTTTTTTCTAGACGGTGTGACTTGGGTGAAGCAGGTGTAGCTGGAAGAAGTAGTGTGAACAAAGTACGCTTAAACATTCACACCCACCCTTTGTAGTCCTATGAAGTTCTCTGTTTACCAATAGATGTTTACGGAGAGAAAACTTATTGCAATTAATGATGAAAAGCGCTCTAGTAATGGAGTAGAACTCTGATGTCATTACTGATGTGTTTAAGAGATAGATGCGATTTAAGCTCAAGCGTTAATTTGACTGTTATTGGATTGTAAAAGTGAAGGATGACTCATGCCGACATACCAGTCCGATCTGATCGTTCAGACTGGTAGCAGTAAAGAAAAAACTCCACCTATTCCGACTTTGCATTACAGTACTACAGAATTAGGTCAGAGAAAACAAAACACACATTACAATAAGTTCAAATAGTATTAGAATCAGATAGCACAAATAAAAACAATGTTTATCATTAAATTACATGTTACACGAGACTACATTTGATCTAAATCGTATTAAAAGCAAGTGTGTTAAAAATCAAAAGCAAAGTCATGTTTGAATAGTATGAAGCACTTCCGAGAGTGAAATTATATTCGATCAATGCTCAATCTTATAATAAATTTTGTTTTTAAAAATGAAAGTCATTGATTTCATATATGTAACATAAGTTTCACATGTATCTTTAAATAACATTAAGAAAATTATTATTTTTTTTTTACAAAACTTTGTAGAGAAATTTTCTAAAACTCAAAAGTTTAAATAACGATATTACTAATCTTTATATTGAACTTTTCCCTATTTTGATATTCTTCAATTCTAATTACGAAGAATATACCAGATACAACTCGTTGCAGGCGCAGAATCACACACTAGGATACCTTATCGATTTCAATTGTGGTAATTAATTATGATTAACAGGTGTATCTATTTTAGTAAAAGCTAATTCAATAGTTCCTTCTAAAATAAAAATCACTCTATCTATCTAATTTCTTATATTACATTCAAAATTCAACACAAAACTTTCAATTAATTTATGTTATAATTCTTCAAATATTAAAGAAACGTTTATCCATAGACTACGAATGTCTTGTGTATTTGTGATACAACGTGACCTCTCTTGAATATATTTCGGTATAGCTAAAATAGAATGTTCATTGTTTTCTTTCTACACATGTATACTATATATATATATATATATAGACTTTTTCTTTGTCTATATAGCTGCATATCCAGCCACCTAACCAGCTGTATTTCTCAAAAGACAAAGACTTATATATATGATTCTTATGCTTACATCATATGTTCGTGAAGTTTCTTTTCTTAAATAAACTTTAACATTTAAATAACAAAAAAGATACAACTAATTAATTGAATTCTTATTTTATACTTAGATTATTTATTTAACGAACATTATTATACAACGACAATGGACGAACAATTAAAAACAATATCAACTTCTCCTGATTCAAGTATGTTTTTTTTCTCTCATATCATTCATATTTATTAGTAATATTCGAAATATTTCTTATTTTTATTTAGTTTTTTCTCAATTTTCATCACCTGATACAGTAGTTAATGGTGGAATTATTCCTACATTGTCTGCATTGTCAGTACTTTCACCACTTCGATCATCAGTTACATTAGCCAATATGAGCAATCTTACAAATACACAAGAGAATCAAAATTTTTTTCTTGATGAATTTAGTTCACAAAAATCTTTTGCAATGTCTCGATGGTGAGTTAAAACGATTTCTTA